CCAGTCTATTTTGTTGACATTCGATGTGACGGTCGTTGTGACTGGTCTCGATTTCGACGATGTCATCGGTGGCGGAACAGATTATTGTCCTAAATAATAGCGTTTGACAAAAACGCTCTGCTCCTTGACTACTGAGTTTCCTGAACACGTCGGTCATTGCCTTTACCTGGACTAAATACCCTTTCATTGCATGGGCTGTAGTCTTCTGTAGTATCTCATACATAATCGATTGATACTACATTCTATCGCTTGATCAATCGGAATACTGGAAAATGGACAATCAGTGCATTTCACGACAAATAATTTTTCCAGACAAAGAGAGAGTTGCTGTGGGGCATTCACTGAAGATCGGCTACATTTCTTGTCCCGAGTTTTGCATATTTTCGTCCATTATGAGCAAAAAATAGTGGCACCATTCCATGAAGAGTTTCTGGCCATGTAATTGCCATTCCGCACGGCAAGTCGAAAGAAACACGCATCATTTAGAACCAACATCAAGACTAGAATATAAAAAATGAGAATACAACATCTTCTCAAAGGAAATCGAGCAGCATTAGCCTTGTGTGTTCGCGACATCTGGCTACAACAGTTTTGTTTGGTGCCTCAAAATAAATTGATTTACGTTGCCGGTTCGGATAACAAATGTTATCGATTAAAATCACAAGGATGTCAAGGAGATATGTTACTTGAATTCGACCACATCGAAGTTGACGCTCGATTATTTGTTCACATGAAAAATATTGCGAATTTTGCTGCTACAATACAGCGGTTATTCAGTCATGTGACACACATTTTAATTCTCTCGATCTTCTACAGTAGCAACTTTGAAAATTTGTCCATACTCATTGATCGAACAACTCTTGCCAATGATCATCAGCAACAAAATGGCAATTGTCGGATGTCAATTCGTCAATTGCTCCGATTGTTGAGATATGATTTTGGCACTACCAAGTGTGAGAACACCGTCGTTGCTGTAGATGACAGCTATCTACTAAAAGTAGAATCTTATAACTACTATCCGTACCAAAAAGCAGTGTCCCTGGCTATTTCGCGAATAACTTTTGATAGAAGAGCGTCAGAGACTTGTGGTTTCCAGTTTTGAATTTAGACACTTTTGCGTGATGTCTTGTAGCAAGCGGAAACTCCTTTCTCCAAAAGTTGGAAACCCGGATTTCCCGAGGATCTTTGGAAAACTACCTGTAGTTTCGAAACTTTTCATAGAAGTTTTCTTTCTTTTTTACATGAGTCTGTACATCTGAGTGTCCTCTTTTCAAATTCGAAAGAATTACGTTTCTATCTCTCAAGGCCGTGGTCGTGTAATTGCCTTTGGGAAAAAGCAGGAAAACTTCATATACGCAACACATTAAACAATGATGATAACAAACATTTTCTTGCATCATTATTTGCGTTGCTACTACCGTCTACAGTCAGTGACTTCTATTCCGTCTTTCTTCCCTCCAATCTAAGGATGATTTTTAGTCTGAGTTCCTTTTGAAAGTTTGAGCCATATTGAAGTTGAAATGACCGAGCTAGAGAGTTTTTAAATTATGCAGGTAAAAGGTCAAAAACTGATTTTCAGCTTTTTTCATCTTCTGACTTATTTTGATTTGCACACGAAAACAAACACTGCCACGTCATCAACATGATTGATTACCTACGTCTGATGTGTTTTTGAGTTAGGCCAAGTAGACAAAAAGGAAACAGACCTGTCCTCGGAAAACGCCTGTAACTCCGAAACCTTGAAACATAGAAACTTAATCCTTTCGGATTTGAAAAGAGGACACTTAGATGTACAGACTCATGTAAAAAAGAAAGAAAACTTCTATGAAAAGTTTCGAAACTACAGGTAGTTTTCCAAAGATCCTCGGGAAACCCGGGTTTCCAACTTTTGGAGAAAGGAGTTTTCGCTTGCTAAAAGACGTCACGGCAAAAGTGTCTAAATTCAAAAACTGAAAACCACAAGTCTCTGACACTCTTCTATCAAAAGTTATTCGCGAAATAGCCAGGGACACTGCTTTTTAATACGGATAGTAGATCTAATCATTTTGTGGACCGTGGCTGGCAACGAAATTACATATATGCAATAGAACTGATGCAAAAGGTCAATATCTACTGCATTCAAAAGCTTTTATCGCTGCAGAAAAACCACTGATCTGCTGTAAGTGACCTACGTTTAGCCAACCTATGCAATTCTTGAATTTATAGGTTATGGTTGTCAGATAAATTCATTAGACGAAGCCAGAGTCATCGTTGCAAGAAAGTTCATTCAGGAAAGTTAAGCAAATCTATATCAAAACGGTTACCGCAGACGATCGCGGATGCCTTCACTCAACATCTCTTCCGTTCAAATGTACAAATAATCGTGTGGCTAGAAACTGGTAAATCACACATCGATTATCCTGATCTGAACGGTAACGGTTACGAGGAAATCAACAGTGAGTTGGTTATTATATGGAAAACACTTGACGACCACCCATGGCTAATTGGATGCAATCAAATTACTTAATCGCACATACATTCAACTTAATTAGACATCAAACATAACGCGTTTATTTTTCTTTTATTTTGCTTATTTTCTTCGGAACAGCAGAAAAGTTAGGGTCGCAAGGAAGGGCCAATGTAGCTTTGTAAAGCAGTTTAATTAAGACGGATATGTGTTGATTTATAATTGAAACGAACGATACATAGTCGTGTATATTTGAAACATTTTTTAAAAGACTTTCACTTACATCCCTTTTTTACTTTAATCAATTTAGAATCCTTTTCTTCAGTTTGTAGTACTTTCGAGCATCATCAAGAAAGCAGACTGACTTCATTTACGATTCTTATGTATCTTCACAACCGGTTTTAACTCTCACGGGTCACCACCAGGACCGCGACCTTCCGAACCACCACCTGCAGGACCATCACCTATCAATAGTCCACAAGGAGGAGGACCTTCAATTGGGGTGACGGATATTGAACGAAATTTGGCTTTGTATGGTTATGGGTGTTTGTTCCTATTCGGGTGCTTTGGAAACTTGTGTAGTTTATTAGTATTTAGCCAAAAGACATTACGTCGAATATCCACAAGTTTCTTATTCTTATGTTTATCGATACCTGATACATTGTATTTAGTGATATCGCTATTTGATTTTCTTTATACTGGCCTTGAATTGAAAACAAGTTCAAACTTGCTCTATCGGCTTCGAATATTTTTACAATCATTGACAACGTTGTGTTTAGCCTATTTTCTAGTTATGATTTCAGTTGATCGGTGGTTTCGTATACGTTATCCATTTGAATCGAAGAAGGTGTGTACAATCAGTTCAATATTATACACCATTGGAATTCTTCTTCTTCTATCAATCGGCATTAACAGTCATTTGTTGGTGAATGATTTTGGAGAACTATCGGCCAGTCAGCGTATTATTTGTGGTGTATCGATGAGGAATGATGCTTATGTTAACTTTTATAAACGCATGTGGCCAATAGTTTACACCATCGTACAAATGATTCTACCTGTTCTGATATTAGCATCGACATTAATTGATATGTCTATTTAATTAAAATATAATCGTCAACGACAACAACAAAGAATACCACGTAAACGAGATTATATCGAAAACAAATGTTCATGTTAATAATAACAACGATTCTTCTATTTATAATAACAACAGCACCAATGGCAATATTTAATATTCTTTTGTCAAATATTGATCGTTTAAATCTAACTACATCACAAGTATTACAAATCGGAACAATTACGACATTTATAATGGCAATAAATTTTTCATCGAATTTCTATTTACACTGTTTAACAAGTCGATTGTTTCGAAATTATTTCTACAAAATAATTCAGTGTAAAAGAGTTCGAGTACATTCGTCAGTGATTACAAACGGCACAAACACAAACATAACAGCGCATCGTTCACAATTCCATTGAAATGGATACAAGATTAACTATCTCATAAATTATTTATCTAATGCAGTTGTACATCTCGTTTAACGATTCGAGTTGATCTATTGAAGAGTAATTGCGAAACTGTATTTTTTGATTCGTTTACGAATAAATATAGAAAATATAATTTCTGAATTGCATCAGGATACATATTCTGCTCCGTTGATGCTGTAGTTGTTTTATTCAGATCCAGATCTAAAATATAACCAATAATATAAAAATATTTACTGATCCAGAGAAATAAAATGCTAAGCAAACTTATTTTGTAGTTGAGAAATCAGTCAATTTTGATAACACAAAAAAGTCATCTACGGATAATAAAAGTTACAGAATATAGATAGTCTATCATGGCGAATCGATCGGAAATACTTGCAACCCTCCTTCGGATCTTTAGAAGATGTTCAGAAAACTTTTTAGGTTTACATCGGTCCTTGTCAAAGGGTGGAATTGTTTCGATGATTTTTATCGGCATTATTGCCTACTTTTTTCGAACGACCGTATGCTTTTTTCAAAAAAAGTGACTTTTGTATTTCGACTCTAAAGAAATCATGTTGAAAAATAGTTCTTAAAGCCTAGCTAATCTCGAGATTTAGAACACTGGATTCTGATCTTTGCAAGAAATTTAGTTAGATTTTTCCTTGTTAGTGTCTGAGATTAAAATCGTACAGATATTTATGGGCCACATGTATGCTATCCATAAGAAAAGTTATCATTTGCTTTTTCAGTGTCAACCGCTATGGACTAACTGAGTTTAGTTAATTTTCTGGGTAAATGAACTGGACTAACCCCGTTTGTGTCGATATTCGGTTGCTCTATCACGAGGCATTTTCCTTCCTTCGCTTTTAATCGAGCGTGCGCTCTATATGAAAGAAGGAAAATCTTGAATGAATTAAGAAAATATTTCATCATGAAATTGTCATCGGAAACTTTGTTTAATAATCAGATGAAAAAAGTCGAGAAGTGAGTACTTGCGCATAATTAGCTAAAATACCAAAACAACAAGTCGAATAAAGAAACGATATTGTTATTTGTCATAGGAGAGACTCTGTCAGAATCAATGTCATCGGTGTTCATCTGCAGACCAGTCAGAGTTGACATCCGCTGTAGGAGCTTCGTTCATGTTGCCGTCCCCGTCGATACTTGCACAATAGGTAATAGCATAGTTCAAACGATTATACATGATATCAGCCGACGAATATTCAGGTAAATCAAGAACAAAAGCACATGTATGCGATCCTAAAAGATAAAAAACAAAACTTTGTTATATATGCACGCAAGAAAGGTACTCTGATTGTTCAGTATGCCAATAGTAATATCAAATAGGAATTCTCACTTCAGCAGGTATTCTGTTAGGAGGTAACGTCTGCGAAGATTCCATGATGTGTAAAAAGCCCAAAAATGATTGTATTTGCAGTAATTTTACTATGTTGTCCACCTATATTCACAGAAAAAACGGCTAAAAAGTCTTCCGTCGAAAAGTTAGATAAGATTCAATTTTACTAAACAACAGGATAGCACAAAAAAGAACAAAAGACTTGTGGCATCCGTGGATACCCGGTGATAACCTAAAACTAGAATGTACTGAAAATTTGGACAAAAATAGATGTTTCTTTTACGGGACAAAATGTTCTCATAAATACCCCTATAATATTTAAAAAACTCGACTACTTCCAAAACTGTAATATATCGGAAATGAACTTGTCTGTTTTGGCCAATATTTTCAGCACTCAATCAGCCATAGCAGCTCGTTTTACGCTTAATTATTTTTGTTTTCTGTAAATGCCTTGCAAAGATCTAGTAATCCCTACTACAGTACTCGAAAAAGGTCCAGAAGCAAAAATGTGGCTGAGCGTTTTCATATCTCATCGAGGTATACTTCAAGACTAAGCAAACGTTTTGTAAAAGCAACACCACCCACACTGACAAGACCCACAATAAATGTAATCGGTCACCTTTTAAACCTTAAAAAATCAAATTTCGTACTTGCTCGCTCCTCCAGGTTTCTAGCTTTCTCGAACCGATCCTAGATCTTTCGTCGTTCTTTGTTTGTATTTTCTCTCTGCTTTTTTGATTGTTATTTTTCTTTCCGTACGCGAACCGCCTGATTGTTTTGCTCGTCTTACAACGCGTTCACTGCCGTCTTTTGAGTTACAGGCACATATATATATACATACAGTAATGAATAAAATTATAGAACCAGTGTATTTTTGAAATTTTTCGATGAAGCCAAGTAGCTAGTTCAAATCTGAACACTGATTTGAATAGTTCTTGAAGCTCTCTATCAAATGCAGTATGCGCCAAAATTCCAGCAAAAAGGTTTTGAACTAAGTCCTAGAGAATTCTGTTAAAAGTATTTTCAATCTAGCCATCTAAAAGAGCATAAAATTCTGAAGAAAATGAAGGAATGCACAACCCTCCACAATCTTTCGTTGCAAAATTACAGGCATCAGACAATTCACAGAGATGTGCTTCTGCTTAGGTTTTAGGCGATTATTAGCGTTTTTTCCGTAAATTATACTATTTCTTGGGATCGATGGCTGTAACTTTGCAACGAAAGATCGTAGACGGTTGTGCGTTCCTTCATTTTCTTCAAAATTTTATCCTCTTTTAGATGGCTATATTGAAATACTTTTAGTAAAATTCTCTATGACTCAGAGCTCCGCTATAGCGGTTTACTAGAAAACTTTCTTCGAAACCTTTTTGCTGGAATTTTGGCGCATACTGCATTTGATCGAGAGCTTCAAGAACTATCCAAATCAGTATTCAAATTTGAACTAGCTACTCAGTTTCATCGAAAAATTTCACAAATACAGTGGTTCCATAATTTTTTCCAGTGCTGTAAGATGCATGGAAAGCGAACTTACAGTGAAATTCATTTTCAAATATATCATGCAGTTAAGAATATATATGTCTTGACTTTTTTTGACACTTTTTTCTGGTCGAAAAATTAGAAAAGCTCAAAAGGTGTCAAAAAACGGATATTTTTTCGTCTTTTTTGAAATTCGTTTTTTGAAATTATGTTACTAGGTGGAATGTTCTAACTTGCTTTTTCTGATTCAGCATTGGAAACTGAATTAGAAATGGTTTTAGAACATTTTTAGAACAAAAATCTATTCACTAAAAACTACGCACTGTCTTTGGCTCGAAAAACGGAATATAATTTTGCAAGTTTATCACAAGTTTTTCTAGAGAAGCTAGAGCCAATATTTTTACATGATTACATCCGCTAGATCCTCAGCTTTAAAGTTACGAAAACCTTTTCCAAAAATTCCTTTTCCTCTCTCAGAAAAATTAGTTTTTCTATAGCGTAGGCGAAAAACTCGGAATTCTACCGGTAATTCTCAATTTCCTCGCTCAGAACCCAACTTCTGAGTACCAAAAATATCATATTTGGAATTAGGATTAAAAACTTAGTTGAATGATGTTGTATTTCTATCCTATATCCGACTACTTTAATGTTTTCCGAATTTTCACGTTGCAAAATTACCGAGATTTCCATCCAAAACTAAAAATCAACTAAAAATTTCGAAATACACTCAGTTTTTGATTCTATTTCCGAATACGATATTTGTATTGCTCAACGCTGAATCAAGAAAAGTAAGTTAGAGCATTGCATCTCGCAACATTATTTCAAAAAACACAAGAAAGACGAAAAATGCTTATTTTTGACATCTTTCGAGTGTTTTTAATTTTTGAAGATGTCAAGAAAAATCATGGTACATATATTCTTGGCCGCCTGGAAGTCCTGTATCCAACGGTGTATGATATGTTCGAATATTAATTGCAGTGCAAGTTTGCTTTTCGTGCATCCATACCACGTTTTACTCTCCATCGGTGCTCGTACCGTTCGCTCATATGTCCCGTTCCCCATGTTATTCGTGGTTGTTCTTTCCTTTTCTTTCTCGCCATCCATGTTCTTGACTCCGCCTTCGAAACAAATTCTCGACAACGAGCCGTCGTTGATTCTCTCGCGATAGTGGAGAGCCCACTGCGTGGTTCCCCGAAATTATTTTAAAAACAAAATATTCTCCAGAGAATCATATATTCTATATCGAGAAAATATTTAAAACATAGAATCATAAAATATGTGCCTTGAAGTGCCCGTAGCGTCAAAATATCTGACAAAACTTAAAAACATATCATTAAATTCGTGAACAATCGGTATGGTTTCAGTGAACGCAAAATGGTACGGCGTTTACGGATACACCTGTCAACCATTTCACGCAGATGAACATCTGTTGTTGTCAGCAAACGTCGAAAAGCTCCGATAATGGACAGCAGAGATCAAGAACAGATTGACTCAAAATTTATCGTAAAGTGTTGGGCGCTTATGACCTCATTTTGGGCCATGAAGAATACTTGAGATTATGAGGAAACAATGTCGACGCTAATCGGTTGCTTCTATTCAACCGACTTAGCTATGACTCCTCCCAATATCAAATTTCAAAAGCAAACAAAAGTGATGATTTGGATGGCTATGTTCTCAAAAGGAATTTCTAGTCTGTACATCCGCAGAAGCCAGAAAGCTATTCGCGAAGACGCATGTGTTAACGAAAGACGAATTATATTCGTCAAAAAGTATTATCCAGATGCAACTTAGATCTTCTGACTCGATTTGGCGAATACTTATTATTCAATGCTGTGAAAGAACGTTTGAACGAGAGAAGCGTACCATTCGTCGCTCGTTCGGATATTCCTCCAAACGTGTCGAGCGAAGAATTAAGCAAAAGGCTAAAGAACTTGACAAAAAGAGGCTGGAAGATGTTTGAACGAAGCTTCGAGCTATGTGACGAGACGGATTGTATTCAATTTGTTCAATATCGTTTTGTGTAGTATCATCCATGCTCTTTCTAATGGAAAAAGGTGACCCGCTAGCTGCCGCCTGTTACTTGCGCTCTCTCTTTCTCTTTACTCTCTTGTTCTGAATAAAAATTCTCAAGTTGCTCTACTTGAAGATTTCATCATCGAAATTGCGAGTGCCAGACTCTACTTACTTGGAAGCGCTCCATCCACCGGTCCACTGGATATATCATATGGATTAATTGTAAATTTCGATGTAAAATCTGTATCTTGACTTGGTAATGTGCATCGTCCCCAGACGAATTTCAGAAACAATTTTTTTTGTTCCTCAGTGAACATTTCACTGAGAACTGTCCAAAATCGCTGAATACATGGTGAATCTTGAGTACAATCACCACCGTAACTAGTATTCCGTTTTAATAGTTCCACATCCATTTCACCTTTTCCACATACTGATTCTTCTAGTTCCCCGGCTGTAAACAAACTCAAGAAATATCCTGGAACAACACTGTATAAGCCTTGACGAATAAATTCAATTTGTCGATGAAACTCGTTTAGACGATATTCACGATAACTTGTACAGTATTCTTTGAAATTAGAAACCGTAATCGGAATTTTTCTACCATCCGGAACGAGTTCATAAGTTTGTCCAGCTGAACTGATAACTTCAAATCGAAGTTCATCCAAGATACTACTGAACAAATCATTGATGTCACCGTCAATATCCATTGACTGATTGCTCTGTTTTATAGTCTTCTCCATTTCATTGATCATTGTGAAACTTTGCATATCAATGGCCTCAATATCTTCGATCGTCACTTGTTCTCTGACTAGTTGTTTCCATAGTAAAATGGGAAATTTCAAATCTAAATAATGTTTCTTTCGTATCGCCATGCCCATCAATTGTCCAATGAATCGATATTGTTTTTTGACTCGATTTGGAATCGGTTTATTGAGCGGAAATACATTCGGAATCCAACGATCACGATTCAAACCACTGTTTGTCCGTCCATTTGGACACAAAATGAATAATGGTAATTGTGTACTACATATATCAGAACAAATACGCGATATAGAATCACGATAGGGTCCACCTTGATCATTACTATGCATGGCAAGATATTGTGCACGCCATAGGCGGTCGTTCTGTTTTCGAAACGTTAAATGGGCATCCTTATGCAACTGCTCGTAAGCTTGACTGAACATAGTATGTAAGCCATGATCGGCGATAGCACTTGCTCTAACTGTATCAAAATTGACTGTAGGCATATCACCGGATTCTGTGGTAACGTCTAGGGTTCTGCTAAACAATTGAAATTTCGTTTCGTATAACATGTATGCTCTGGCTGTTCGAATTTTATCTGTCAGAATACTCTGTCCTGGGAATAGACTGAAATCGACAATTGATACAAGTTTTGCCACAAACATACTGAATTGATAGAGAAGTTTTGCACGAGTTTGGATACAAATGGCTGGAATGTGCCATAAGGATGGATAGGTTTTGTAGTATGCCGGATTTGGTATGGATTCGGTCGGTAGACTATTGATGAACTCAATGGATAAAAGATTCATGAGCGGACTACTATTCATAAAACTAATCAGCTGTAAATCAGCATTTGTATCGAAATGGCTGTTCGATTTTTCGATATCATCGCCAGTGAACTGAAGATGGTCGTCCAACAGAACAATCGACTGTAGTACGAATACTTCAGGAAACGGCGTTTGTTTAGTTTTATCGGTCAAAGCATTGATAACATCGATAACCATCAATAGATCATGGAAACTTTGAGAAAATTGAGAAAAATCGAATTCCAAGAATTCGTTCGAATGGGTTGGTATATTTGTCGTAATTTGTTGATATTTTTGTCTCTCGAAGAGCAGAAACACTAAGTCCATGAGGGCTATTTGAAATGTTTTCATCATTCGACTATCCATCGATGTTGGGTTTGGTGGCAATTCAACGAATAAATGGAACAGGAAATGTTGAATATGTCTGCTTAAATTGAAATTGTTGCTTGTTTGCATTAAGCTGAAAAGAAACGAGATGTTGTCATCTTCTGTTAGATTATTCGTGGGTGTTTCCACGTAGGTCAGCCCAGATTTACATCGACTTCAACCTGGCAGAATTCCACTGTGTTTAGACTATAGCCTGTGTTGAGTTAGACAGAGTCTACATCTCGAGTTTTTAAAAAAGTTGTGCCAAAAGTGGCCGGGCCAGGCTCACAAAAGTCAGTTTTGCCAAAAACATCCACTGGGGAACGCTCACTAATGATCTAAAGAAAGCTTTTCGTAAAAATCTGAGACAGCCATTCGACAGAGCTCGGAAAGTTGTCTATAAGAACTAATTTTCAAGGGTTACAACTGGCAACGTGGGTCGATGATAAACAACATTGACTTTGGGATCGATTTCCTCGGCAACTACATGTCAGATTTTCGTCAAATTTTGTCTGGTAAAAATTTTAAATAGCACCTTTGGCAGCTTCTAGAGATCAAAACCAGCTTTCTAGGAGATCTGCAGAAACCCAACTTTTCACAGCTCCTCTTTATTTTCCTCCGTGAGAAACTCCGAGAATTTTGAGCAAAAAAATGTTCACATTTGTCTTCCGTGAAAGACAATGTTTTCACATACCCAGAAAATAAGTGAAGAATGACTATTTTCGATTGATGCATTGGACTTAAGAGAAATAGATCGAATAGCAGATTGATTAACGGTACCGGAAACAAGAGTGGAACAAGAAAATCGATTTCATTTTGTTTTATTGTAGATTTATCGGTCAGCAATTTGACGAATAGATTGACTAATTTAAGAATGAAATTAAAATTCGGTTGTTTGATCGATGATTGCTTATCGATCACTGTTGATTCGTCACCATAATCATAGAATAATAATGATGGGTTCGATAAAAATTGAATCGATTGAACAATGACATCCTTTTGTAATTGATAAAGTAAGGGAGCTTTGTGTTGTAGTATTTCACTAGTAATCTTATCGTGTGTCGTCGTATGATATTTGAGTAATTCGTTAGTTTCGACTTTCAAAATTGAATTAACTAACAAACTCATTCGATCAACATTTTCATCTGTATGCAAACGTGTATAAATATAATGATAATCTAATAATCGCAATAATGTCACAATGAATGTAAAATCACCAAATTTCTCCAATGGGAATAAACTTGATCCATCATTGGACCAAACTCTTAACATATTCAGAATCGTATAATGTGCATACATCGATATCAATCCATGTTCGCAACCAACACGCGACTCGCAATATTGTTGACGTACTATTTCTCGATGAGAATACTGAATTGATTTTTTAATTTTTTTCCGTTGATCTTCGAGTCCCGTTCTCATCATTGCTTGTTCTTGTACAGGTCGATTCAAATCAAATAGTTGATGAGTGATATCGGTTTCTTCGATCGTTGTTGATTTGTCTCGGATCCATTCGACGAGACTATCGTCGATATTTAAGTGACGAACAGCTTGACGAAACCATTTCTTGTCCGATGATACATCAGTGATGTCGACCAATGATGGTGATGTTTGTATCTCATTCCAACGAGCGAGAATAATTTCACCAAGAGCTGCAACCTTTTCGTCAGTATCGAATTCGGAAAATTGGAGTATATCTTTCAATTTTTCTTTATCAATCGTTGAATCGAACCTTGACAATATGTCTTCACGACGTTTGTCGTTCTGTTCACGTAGAATCGTATCAATCGACTGAATGTTTGCCGTTATGTTTTGTTCCACAACAGATTTAATCGACGTTTCATCGTATCCAATTAAAAGCAAACTCGGTGCGACGATAGAATACGGAGGTGTAACTAATGTTCCTAACGAATAGTTTGATGATTTCATCTGCTCGTCGATATTCACAGTTGCGCTGTTAAGATAAGTAATCGATTTACATTCAATTCGAAGTGTATCATCACCGGTCGTGTTCTTTGTCAAATCATGTTCCCTGAATAGATCGATTCGCTTCTCTTTTATTGTCAATTGTTCACCATCCACACTACCATCGAGCTCTAATAATCCATTGACATAGATTCTGATGGATTTCTCTTGAACAGAAATGAGCAAACGTACATATTCAGTTAATTTCAATATAGATTCACTTTTAATATTCGTTTCATTACCAACCGATAGGCAAAGTTGACCATCGTGTGTCATATAAATTTCTGATTGTGAATTCAATATCACCAGTGTCAATTGTTCGTTCTTCGTCGGAAAATTAGCAATGAAAATATCGAGTATAAGTGTATATTCAGACCATGGATCACTAGATTTGTCCAAAACGAGATAAGTTTTGTTTCCGACTAATTGTATTGTTGATTGATTGATTCCATTGATCGATTTGAAATATTTCCATTCATCATTGTCTGCTTCGTTTTTTGTCTTCTCCCATTTGTTTTCATCGAATGGTTCACTCAATGGAACGAATAAATCGTTTTCAAAGTGTGGCTGTTTTTCAATGAATGTAAATGTATTCGCCCGTTTTCGATGTGTGTTCAGTCGATGATAATCAAGTGCTACATAGGATAGACCAGAAGTGAATAGACGTCGAATATGTTCTTCCGACAGAGCATATTTCCAAATAGCTAGATTTTGAATTCCAGCAGTCATTGTTGGCAGAAGCTGCACAATGAATTTTGTCATGATCGGAATTTCGAATGTTCGACACTCATTATTAATGTAGATTTTCATTTGTCGATCATTTGAATGAAATACAACTGCCGTTCGTGTTTCATCATTGATTTTACTCAATGGTATTTGTATTGAAAATATATCCGGTGTAGTGAATGTCAATAATACAATATCAACATTTTCAAATTTTGTTAATATTCGAAAATCGAAGCTAATTGTTAATGATTCGTGATAATCGATGGTCAACGGAAAACCGCCGCTTTCTTCCGGTAATATTAATTGATGATGATCGAAGGTAAATGTGGCTTTTTCAAGGTGATGACCGTTGACAAAATCACGTAGAAAAGCGGACGAATTAGCACTTCGTGTCCTGTGAATATAATCTTGAACATTATCACCTACCAAATAGGCACTGTAAGGATAAGCAACAGTATGGACTAATGTTGACACTAACAATGGTTTGTAACCATTCGGTAATGGACACTCGAACATATCTTCTGGACTAAATATGAATTCACAACAACTTATTGATGAATCATTTACTTTTAAAGTAACACCGGGAAAATAGGTTGCTCCACGTCCATTTGGTAACATATCGCATATTGTTGTCGTCGAACCGATTGGTGATTGATGTGAGAAAGCCGTACCTAAGAAGTGCCCATTTAACCAATAGTTAATTTGAATATTATCACAATCAATTTTAATTCCACAACCGCAAACATCGTTCATGCTCCAACGAACATCTTCAGATAGAAACGGAAATTCTGCATTACTATAGAGTGTACCCTGCGATCCGTCGAAAGACCACGAATATTTATCATTGCCAATTCCAATCGTGTTACTGGGTCTGAATCCGGTCGTTGCCCATCCGATTTGAGCGCGACTACCCTCCATCAATCGAATACAAAAGTACCAGTTACCTTCGCTCAAGCGTAAATTATCAACAATGAACGTTGTCATAGACGCAGCTGAATTTTCTGAAATCAAATAAGTCCGTCCTGGAAATCGATGTATCGTACCACAGTCTTCTAATAGCCATTTGCTGGAGAGTTGGGACCACATTGGCACAATTTTAATTTCATCATTTCCACTTCGACCTCGTTTAAACAGTTGAACGTCTGTTTTTGATGCGTTCGGCTTCCATTCAGTTGATGAAAGATCAACAGTCAGTCGATCTTGTTTGAATGGAACATCAATCCAATTAATAAATGAAGATTCATCTTTACTCGTTACGTTAGTATTTTCAAGTATTTGCTTCAAGTGTTCACATCGATCTAAGCTTAAACAATATTGTTCTAAATGTCGTTTATTCGATAGACGTAAATCAGCTGGTTGTCGATGATTGTTTCTGAATAAGTTCGATGTGGATAGTTTGGCAATAATGGATGCATACGGTTTTTGCATAAAAATGTCGACAAGCTTTTTACTAGTTAATAGCCGATATAAAGCGGCGATAGATCGACGTTTCAATTGTAATAAGACTAAAGATTCTTTTGTCGATATATCGATCTGTATGAAATATGCCAATGCATCGAATAGTGAATGTATCGATTCATCCGCAATCGGCAAGGCGAGGAGATTCGGCGGTAGAACATCGATGTCGACTCTTAATTTGTCGGCGATAACCCATTCAGTTTTATTTGTTTCTGAATATTGAACCAAGTAAGGTAATGCATCAGGTGTGCCCAAATTACGAGCATTTGTATCAATATCTATGATCACTGCTAATTGAGTTTCAGCATTGATTTCATCGCCCACATAGACTTGTACGACTGTACCCAAGCAAAATGGTTGAACATATCCACCCAATACACAGAGTGATGCTAAAACGTTGTTTAATTGATTTCTTTCAACAGATTCAAATGATTTCAAACTCGATGTGATAGTATCGAAGATCATTTGTGTGGCCATCATTTACCACGATGATTTGAACGACGTGATCGCACGATAAATGTAGATTAGTTCGGTGACAATATCTCGTGTCATCCGATATGAACTGAGATTATCACCGATTGAAAATAAAATATCAGTTAAAAGACTCTTCATCAGTGTTCTTGACGTTCCGTCAGTACTCTCTGGTAAAAATAATATTAGTTTCCGTAAAACTTTCAATGCAAGTAAAATCGTAGCTTGATTTTCACTGTTTTGATAAATGTACAATAGTTCTTCAATGAAATCAACAGTGGCACAAAGTGATCGTACATGTTCATACAAATGCGCACACCGAAGTAGGAGCATCAACCATTGATTTGTACAAAGTTCGACTTCGAATTTCGATGACAGATCATTTTTAGCTGGTGCTTTTATGAACCATCCAATGGCAGCATTGTTGAATGAATCCTTTCTACATTCGGCACTTTTCACAACTTTATCTTCTGTATCGATTGATGACAATTGCTTCAATCCTTTCAGCTGATTTAAAATCAATTGATGAAAGACGATTTCTTGTTTTTGTTCTAAGACTAAATTGTTCTTATCTTTCCATTCTTCTATTTCAAAGTTTTCACACAGTTTTAATACATACAATCGAAACCAGTTGTATCCGATTAATTTTGCACCAAGCGAAATAGTTCGGTCTGATATTTCAACAGAGCTGACAAACGGTGTAAATAATGCTTCAAGAAATTTGCAGTTATGCAGATAGTAAATGTCTGTTGATTTGTAGGATAAATTAAGTAAACTGAACATAGTTCGTACTGATATCATTTGTTGGGCAATTGTTGATTGTAATAAGTAGAAAAGAATGGTTTTAATGATTAAATAATAGACTTTTCCAATTTCATCTTTCAATTGAATATTTGTTGCTGAAATATTTTCCAAATAGGACCATTCAACATTTGTACACCTCAAATGTGGTAAACAAATTGCTAGAAGTGTCAGAGATCGATTTTTATCATCGATATTGAACACTTTCTCGATGAATGTATGAATAAATCGGTATGTAATCAGTCTAATTATTGCTCTTTCATCCTGACGAGACATGCATTGAACGAGTTCGTCTGATTCCAGTTTTTTTCCATCCTTTGAAAGACCACCATAAACATAGGTATCAATAGCTCGATTTAAAACACTTTCATTATCTTGCTTTTGTTCGATCGCTTTCTTCTTCGTTAAGATCAATTTTTTTAATCGAATACAAGCTTGTAGCATATGTCGCAGCAATCGAAAAGCATGTTTTTCAATTTTTCTTCGTGATGACTGACGTTTTAATTTCAATCCGTTCTCTTCTTCAATATTTGTCATGGTCTCTTCACTAACGATCGGAATTAAATGACTTTCTTTGACAGATGTTAGTAGAAATTGTGTTTTAATTTTAATCTGTTCATAAAGTTCGTTACAATCGCCACCTTGTCCTCTTGTTGTAGCAAATAATGTTTGTACGCGATTAGCATATTCAAAAATGGACAACAGTTTACTGTGTGGTTTTTGATCAATTGTTCGAGAAAGTTCATATTTGGCCAGATTGATTCGACGATAATGTTTAATATAGACAGCAAATAGTGCGGCACAAGCTCCATTTGCTTGTTGTTCAATCGATTTTTGTAATAAACGTTGTTTGTCTTTGACATACATTCTCATTTTCGATATTAGTTGTGCACCTTGATCTGTGTTATTATAGACTGACATTAAAAATTCATGATCGGACGATAATTGTTGCCTGTGATCAACTATATTGAACTGACTGTATACGGTGATGTTGGATTCGAATAAATCCAATAGATATTGATTGTTTTGGGTAGTTATTCTCTCACATCCACCGGCAAACAAGGGTGATTTTAATTTATCGAGATATTTCACTTCTAATGGATCTTGTGGTGGGCCAACCATCAAAACATGACTCATTTTGCCTAATAGCCAATAATTGTAGTGCAGATTATTTTCTGCCATCTCTTTGTTGGCTGTATTCTGTAATACGAATTCTGCTGTTAATGGTAAAATAGCTGTGAATATCGGTTGAATCGTTGCAAGACTAAATTGTTTTTCTATTTCTGTCATTAAATACAAACCAACGAGAATGGAATTCAATAAATCGTTCACTATAGCTCGTTTATCTATCGAATGACTCAATATATGTGTGATATATTTAATGATAAGAGAAGAGGTTGATAATTCCTGTCTTTGTAGGAATCGAACGAAGACCAGTTGCTGAAACATTTGTAGTACTTGTTGAATCCGTTGTGTTGTCATATCACTCGAAGAATTTAAATAAATATCAGTGAATGAATACAAGATGTTAAATGCTGCTCTTTTCTCTAATTTATTGTCGTCGTTATCGCAAAGAACTTCGATCCAGCTTAGCAATGTTGCATTTGTATTTAGTTCTGTTATTAATTGTTCAATTAATATAGGATGTTTATTTTCGAAGATGTATTTATGAATAAATGATAATTTGTCGGTAAACGTAGGTACATATTTATCGAGGACGTGAATAAGGGCTTTTGATGCTTCTCTAGAGATTACAGTTTGTTGTTGTTTTCCATCACGGCTGCAGGCCAACATCAATAAGGTATCAAACCATGTTCGTAGCTCATCATTGGTTGCAAATTCACTTAGATTGATTTCTTTGTTTGATGCGGAGGATTGAACTGTAACAGTTTTTTTCATATCCTCGTTCGTTGCTAATAAATCGCGGTGAAGATTTGGGGTAACAGCACATAAAAATTTCAAATGTGTCGTGAATAATCTTAAACAAATGATCAAAATTTGAACGAGATTCGCGTTCAATTCCTCGGCTGTCGTTACTGTTAATTGTTGAATAATGTGAAACAATTGTTTGAATGTATTCGGATGAAATTCGAATGACATTGAACTATTGACTGAACCATTGTTGAATTGTTTGCTTGCATGGATTGTATGATCAAAATCGATATGAGCAAAAACAAAGACTGAGGTGAATTGTCCAGTGAATTGTTTCTTATGCAATGTCTTCAGTTGTTGATTTGGAAAGGCTCGAATCGATGTCAAATAGGTCAATGAATTCGATGCGTTTCCGTCTAAAAATTTCTCCAAGTTTAGCAGGTTAGGCTTTTAATCGTTAGTCAATGTTAATACGAGGAGAAAAGCTGTGGTTTTAGAAGTCGATAATGGAAATCTAACCTGTTGTTTGTTTCTGTTCTGTGTTATTGTGTTGCTCAGAAGCCGCCGCATTCGAATTAGAATGACACTCCGACTCATTTATTTGTTCTTTTTCCCATTCATCACGAATCGCTGTGAAACGATTGTTCATTTCTATGAATACGTTTCGTTCATTGTAAACATCGACCGTATCGAATATCAATTGGTCTAGTATGGGTAGAACATCTTTGAATACTGCGGTGGCATTTGAAAAATTCAGCAGAATTCTTGTCACTTGCCTTTCAGTAATTCGATCAGCCGACAAAGGTGATTCATCGACGTTATGCTTTGCCGGTTCGAATAAGTGATGAACTACTGTTGAAATATTTTTTTCTGCTGATTTTAATAGAGTGGAAAGTTTGGATACGAACGAGGGTTGGTGATCATTCGATTCAGCTTTTCGTTGCTTCTGATCTTCTAACTTATTCGTTAGAGATGTTTTTAGTTGTTCTTGTCTTTCAAGAATATCTTTCATTTCTTGTATTACTCGTTTGTAATCAGTAATAATCGACGTAAGAACATTCGCCATAAACGTGGTGTCATTTTGAGTGTTGATTGCCACTACATTAGTTAGTAGAGATAGATGATTTTGAATTTGTTTTATCAACGGTTTTTCAGAGTTCGACATCTGATATTCATAATTCGTTGAACCAGGAGGAACTTTTATAGACAAAAATAAATTGATATCTTCCTGACCAGTCTCAGACACGATTTCAGCGGAAATGAGAGTGTCGCCATCCACGTTTGTTAAGTCAACAATTTGCGAATTAGCATTGGATAGTTGTTGACCCATTTGTTCACTCACCCAATAATGTAAACAATTTAAAAATCGAAATAAAAATGGGTTATGAACGGACTATTACCGTGTTATTGAAAACAATTCTGCAACCTACTGCGCGTATACCAAATATAGCGATACAAGGAAGACCTACATATAGAAGAGCATTAACTGTGATTAGCATTCTGCAGTAATTTTGAATTATCTCAAATGATATTTCAATCTTACAACAAAGTATTGATCATTTATAATTGTGACGTCATTTTAACATAGTCCATATCGAGGAGCGGCGATTGGAACGAAAGAAAACTAGATCAATTGTAACACGAAGCGATCCATTGATACAGTGCATAGTTCGAAACTGTAAAATGGACTCAACGATTTGCAGAAGTGTTTTCTAGATTTATCTATCGAACTATTATTTTTTTATAGGCTATTCCGCTTGTTTAGCAAAATATTTTTTAATCAAGACCGGCTGCTAAGAGCAGACAATATTTGTAAGAGACTTCACGTTCTTACATAAACTTTGCTTGATTTTCAGATGTGTTCACGGCCAGGACGAGGGACTCAGAAGAGCGAAAACGCACAGATCATGTATAGTCCGAATAAGAGCATAGAAGCGAGAAACCTATCGTAGAGGAAGACAACAGAAAGCCTACATTCTAACAATCTTGCTTTTGTGTCCTAAATCGGTTCTGGAAAAGTCTTGAGTGTAGATTCTAATAAATCTTCAAAAATTTTTCAAGTTTCGTCCCAGATCTTTCAAGAATTTGTGTAGATTTATCGAAATCTTTTAAGATTCTTACGGGAAGCAGTGCTGCAGATTTTCTACAAGTTTTGTATCAGAATCTATCTTGATAAATCTTGAACAGATCTTGTCAAGATATTTCAAGGATTCTGAAATGATTAATTTAATACGCAATAATCAAAATTTTCATTAACAGATTTGGGAAAGTAAAAGAAAATCTTAAATGTTAGTTTCTACTCCATATTTTCATTTTTTCCTACTGTATCACCACAGTGCTAGCTCTGCTGCACTCTGTAAACACTACCAGAACTGTTGAAAGTGCACGAGCAGCCATACATTCAAACACATTGTTTGAATTTCACTTTAAAAATGTTCAATATTCTGTTGTGCAAGTTTTTATTCTTATATATGCATGAACAATGTCAAACAAAATGGTGATTAAAAGAATAACATATTTATTTATCTACCCTATTGACCAACAGAATTTTAGAAGTCCTCTACAGTGTTGTGCTACAATACAAAGTTGTCATATTTACATTTTTGTCAAACCGCTAAGTCATGTCATAATTAAAATGATTGCCAAGTTTCTTTGTTACCAGAGATTTATTACCAAGTTATTCTTATTTACCAAAGTTTATTATTCTTATTACCAAAGTTATCAAATCTTGTCAGAAACTTGATCAAGATTTTTACAGGCAGATTTTTCAAAAAAAACTTGGGAAGATTTTGATCAGAATTGTTGAACGTTCTTTAAAATCCAGAAACTTAACAGATCTTGTGCAGATGTAAACTTTCTACACGACTATTTTGATACTTTTGACTATTAATAAAATAGCAAAGAAACAAACCTTCAGTCTGCACGTCAACGATGCAAATCAAAAAATGCATGAACATGGCACCAACCTTCCTTTTCTCCTCTTCGCAACTGCTAAACATTTGTCTGTTCGCTTTTTTCTTTCTTTTCTTTTGCTTTTATATTTCACAAGACTATGTACATAGTTTAACTGTTCGCTGAAGTTTTAAATACTTGGTAACTTAATTCAGACGATTGTGTATTTATGCTATGCAGACATTGAAATATGATTCATGCGTTGATTTATTCACATTTCGAAGAGAATTATAGTTTAGCTCAAGTTTCTTCGTCTACACTGTGACAAAAACTGATAGTAATAGAGCGAGCAGTTATTCTTTGAATTAAGAAAAATGTCACCGACACGATTTCTAAAGATTTTCCAGTATTTCCAACCTTTCGAAATTGCCTTGTTCAATATTTTTAGTCAAACAGGAGGTACATGCTGACTATACAAAACTTATCCCCGTCATTTTTTTTGTGCGAAGGATCTGTTTTTATACATAGCGACATGGAAGTCTTCCTAGGTTCCAAATTTTTCGACTTTCAATATTACTTGCTCGTCAGACTTACCCAAGAAAGCAACAAACTGTCGTCCTTCGTGTTATGTACTACGCACACGTGAATAGAACAAATTATTATTTAAATGTATGTGCCGATCATTCTTTTTCTCTCCCGCTGGAAATTGCATCGCTTGCTGTTTTTGTTTTCTTTTTCGTTCTGCTGTTCTACTTCATAATTAGGTGCATATTTTGAATGTTCTTAAAGGACAGATCACGGAACAGAGGCCTGCGAGGATCTGAAATTGTGCTGTCATCCAAGGTATTACTAATTTTTCTGCTCCTGGGTTCAAGTTATATTTATATTGCTATGCTTGCAACGCTTGAAGAGTATTAGAGTCCTTATGTACTTGTATTACTGTATATTTCTTCGGTAAAATTTTCTATGTAACCCAATTTTTAGATGAATAAGGGAAGTTGTCGTTCATACATCATTTCTGCACTTCATATTGAACCACAAAATTATAATACTCTGTTTTTAGCGACCAAACTCAATCTTACAAAACAGGCGCAGAATGATTTTATAAAAGTCGAGAAGATGTAGCATTACTCTCTAAGAAAATTTTGTATTGTACAAAACCAAAAAAGGATATTTCGGTGCAGGGACACCCTTTTTGGAATCTCTGAGTAACAAATGCAGATACTCTCGGTTTTGTCGATTCTGTGGAATGAGGAATACTCTGAAAGAAATCTTACAAAACCAAAAAGGGTACACTGAAATTGGTATTGGTATTGATGATTTTGACTATACTTCTGTCTACTTTGTTTCATATATACATTCTATTATGATGAATACCTGATATGTCGTTATGCAGCCGACCAAAAACATTCGTACACTTTAAACAGAAGTAACATCCACCGTAAAGGTTGATAGGCGTTGTATATAAGACTTTTTATACAAATTATTAGTCTTGCAGACGTTATTTGAGTTGAACAAAACGACCTGTTTTCAAAAGAGTCTCCGTGAAAAAATCAAACAAGTTCAACGATCGCGACCGAAGGCAATTTTTTGTCTTCAATATCGACTATCTGGTTAGAAAGAGCATTCAATTTTACCTGCAAATCTCAATTTTTACAGCTTTAAAATGTAAAAAAAATTTTAGCCGTAAGAGAGTTTTTTCATCCGTTTGACAATTTCTACTTTTGTTCGAAATTCGGTTATGATTTATATTTTTCACTTTTCTCCAAAACAGCTCAATGGATTGAGCCCATTTACGTTTTATTCAATAGTCCCTGAGCTCCTCTATAGTCAGCCCATCATCTAACTTTGAAGCTAGAGAGCTGAACGTCAAGAAATATGCCAAAAATGCGGGTTAAATACGCATATTTTTTCGATTCAGGAACTAGCTATGACTCCCGTTATAAGGAGTTCCACGAATTATTTTGCCCTGTTTCGTAAAACTTTTCAAGGCGCATCTAACCATATCGAATCCGAGAGTTCAGAAAATTAGCAACACTCCGAAAAAAAGGCGTACATTGTGAGGCACCCAGTTAGGCCCCTTAGTGTGCTTGAGCGATCAGAAAAAGCGGGAAGGAGTTGAATCGGAAAGAAGCCGATTACATAAAGTATATGACAAAGAGGTGATTATAACGTGTTTTTTCATGCAAGGAAACAGGAGAAAACATGCTAACGCGTGTTTACTCCGTAGAAAAATAAAGAACAACATGAAATCTTGAAATCAATCTACTGGCTGAGATCAATTGAGACAAGAGCACATCTCATTTTTTGGTATACTATTGTTCTTTTCGATGCTACTTCTTCTCATCACTAAGTTTTCTCTCACAACAGACCGTCGACATCCAAAAGATATAGACTTTTTATTGCTAAAATACGAAAGAAATCACTTTAGTATGGCAGTTAGTTGTTCATTTTCGTCTGTTTTTAATTCAAGTTGTTTCATTTGTTTGAACATGTGTATTCATCCGTCACATGCTCCATTGAGGTTTTTTCCTTGGTAAATGTACGCAGAAATTATATTGGAAGTTAAGAGTAATGTTGTTAACCCATATATTTCACCATTTTTTTTTCTCGATTTGACATTTCTGTTATACCAACCGGCGTGTTGCGTGAGAAAACTAAAACAGTAAATGCAAATCAAACTGAGATGAATATCAGACTTTAACAGTTTTCGATAGTGCTCTTTATGATATTACCGTCAAAAAAGTTCAAGTATGGTTTCTAGAAACTCCCAATTTGTTGACGATCTCATACCAAAGAAAAGTATTCTCTGATTGAAACTTGAGTCTATTTACCCTCGACGAGTGGTATGTTGCCATAATTATGACTTTTAGATCATGGTTTCGTAGAGGATTGGCAAGGTTCTACTATATGTAAGAATATGGTTTCAAGAGGATTTTTTGATGAGTTAGTTACTGGAAAATTGGATAAAAAAACAACGGATAATTTTGAACAGATTATCAACAGACTTTATTTAAGCCAATTCACCATACTGAGATATTCTAGATTTAGCTTTTTGTTTTTGAATATATAAAGCTCATAAGCCTTCAGCAGAGAAGAATCGATTTTTTCTCGGAACCTAGTAAGCTTTGTTGGATTGAAAGTTAGTGTGGCTCGAGCCTATCGGGCCTCATGGCTGCACCGTCTATGTGATCATCTTTGAAATCACGACTTGTCAAAGCTCTTGCGTACGAAGTTATGTGTCGATAATTTAGCTGTGGTCTTTCAGCTGAAAGGGCCTTGAACCTGCCATATGTGCCACTCACAGTGGGCATTTTTTGCTAGAGCAGGCGGACTTTAGCTTTATGAGTGAACTAAAATTTCATGAACCATTTTTTTATAGGTTTTTCATGATCCTCTTTCTAATGGCATGAGAGCTGGG